ACGAATCCTACTTTATATAAAAAAATAGTGTCTTTGTGTGTGTGTGTGTGTGTGTGTATGACACTTTGCATGCAACTTCCGTCAGCGTGTCCGGAGGATATCTCAACCAAGGAAGGATGAAGGGCGTATGATGCGATGTTACAGGGTGTCCCAAAATTGTCCGGACAAAACTGAAAACGGCTTTTTCAATTTTTCCGCTGTTTTCGGTCTGCATTGTATTTCATAATATTTTTTGAGGTATTTTCGATGCACCGTGCAGAAAAAAATTCTTGGAAAACGCACAATGTCTTCACAATCGAGCGAAAAGCATGTTAAAATTTTTCGCCTCTTAAATAACATAAAAATTGCGGTAAACTTTCAAAACGTGTTTCAGACCAGTTTTGTGGGCCAAACGACGTTTTCTGGCAAAGCGGACCTAACTCCACTAAGCTTCCGACATGTTAATGATCTGTTTTCCGATTTAAGACCGATTTTTTTTCCATCCCATTCCTGGGCAAGGTGTTTCGATGCTTGCTCGTGCTCAAGCTCCTCAAAAATCAAAGTTAGCTTAATTTAAATTGCTTGTGCATCATCGTCACCGCCAAAAGTCTATGCCTCTACTCTTTGGCAATAATCATATTGCGTTTTTAGGGTTCCTCTAGGGCAAAACCTTCAAGGCAACCGGGGCTGCGCGTACCTCGATTTCAACTTTTTTGCTGGCTGTTTTTTTTCTGATGTAAACCTAGCGTTTTTGGGCCGGCCAAAGTGTTGACTGATCATTTCCAAACTTTTCCTGTGGTTTCTTCGTTCGTCCGGTTATGCTGAAGTTTCTTATGGGATCCGGAAGCTGTACTTTGTTTCCGCGTTCGCAAGGAGAGAGAAATTTGGTTCGAACTTCTCCAATTTATTCCGAAGAGATATGACGGATTCACGCGCCGTTTTCTTTTTAAGCTTATTAAATACACTGCAACGATTCATAGAAGTTAAATTGTGGTCTGCAAAAACAGGGAAAAAATTGGAAAAAACCGCTTTGCAACTTTGTCCGGATAATTTTGGGACACCCTCTAGACGCGTAATGGCGTGTAGATGACTGCACGCATATCAGATTTTGCAATTTCGATTGTTTTCGACATAAAAATTAAGTTTTTCCTTAAAAATCGGACAACCTCTTTGTTAGGAAAAAATTAGCATACGCCGGAAGTGGGAGTAGCCTATGTAATCAGGGAGAGGACGCGCTTTTCATTTCTGTGACATAAAAGTGCGGAAAGTTTATGCAAAGTGAGGGATATCATAGCGTTGGACGGGGCCAGGGTTGAAAAGTCGCGAAGCGGCTTTTCAACCCTGGTTATAGCTAAATCTTAAAAAAGAGGGTTAGAATGCAGTTTCCCCCAGCCGTAACTTTTCAGCCATACGTCCTATTAATGCGCCGAGTATCTCAAAATGTTCCCCGTGGCCGAATTACTATAAAAAGGTTGTTTCCTTACATCAAAAATTGTTAGAAAAATTTTTATAACAATTATAAGTCTGGGTTTTCTTTAGTTAATTTTTGCTGTTCCAAAGTGAGTTTTCGTATCTCGGCTATCTTTTGACGTACAGAGCTGTCAATGGTACCAAAATGTAGCTCTTGCTTTGGAGAATAAGCCTACAGTACATTTGAATTGAAAAAATAGCGGAAAATAAAATATTTGAGTTTTAGACTCCTAGTACATCGAAGCATAGCGGCGTAATCTTTTCAACTTTCAAAATCTTGTAAAAAAATTTTTAGCAATTTTTGCCGCAAGAAAACAACCTTTTTATAGTAATTCGACCACGGCGAACATTTTGAGATACTCCACGCATTAATAGGACGTATGGCTGAAAAGTTAGGGCTGGGGGGGGGTAAACTGCACTTAAGCCAAAAAGAGTAACCGAATACCGCTCATTACAGTACGTCGGAGAGTCCGAGGCCAACATCCGCAAGCTGTTCGCCGACGCCGAGGAGGAGTCGAAGAAAGCCGGCGCCAACTCCGGGCTACACATCATCATCTTTGACGAGATTGACGCGATTTGTAAGCAGCGTGGATCAATGGTGACCTTTCCCCGATTTTTTTGCAATGTTTAACTTCAGGCCGGTTCTTCTTCAGTCCATGACACTGTCGTCAACCAGTTGCTGTCAAAGATGGACGGTGTTGATCAGCTGAACAATATTCTTGTGATTGGTAAGGATATACCTAGTCTATAAATTAAATTTCCTATTTGGGTATGACAAATCGAAGGGTATGATTGACGAGGCGTTACTACGCCCTGGCCGTCTCGAAGTCGGCGTCGAGATTGGGCTCCCCGACGAGACGGTCGTTCCCAAATCTTGCGCATTCACACCGCCCGCATGAGGTTCATTTCCCATTCAGAAACAAGTGTAAAATAATTTAGAGAATTCGACAAGCTCGACAAGGACGTCGATATCGATGACCTGGGCTGTAGATGAAAAATTTCTCGGGCGCCGAAATCGAGGGACTTGTGCGCGCGGCCCAGGTATCGCCATGAATCGCCATGTGAAGACGGCGGAAAAGGTGGCTGGAAAGTCTTAATTTATTCATTTTTTCTAGGTGACGCTCGATACAGAGGCCGTCGAGAAGCTGAAGGTGAACATGGCCGATTTCGAGCTGGCCTTGGAGAATGATATCAAGCCGGTAAAGCTCCGGAATTACTTTATGGAAGTAGAACGAGAAGTGAAAGCAGCGAAATTTAATAATGAAAATTGTTTGTTCAAAATTCCGGCAGGAAAGCGTCGATTTGATATTTACCTGACTTGTAGTTTAGTTTTTTTGCTCGAGATTTTGATCGCCACCATTAGGGGGAAAATTGTTTTGACGATTTTTTTCAGGCTTTTGGAAGATCAGGAGACTGTGCAAAAGTTCCTACGTCGCGGCTATATCCCATGGTGTCAAGAAGTCGAACAAATCATCCATAACGGCCAGCTGCTTGTCGAAGTATCCGCTCTGTCAAAACACAAACTTTAATTATCTAGGCAACACGCGAACCGGAAAGCATCGGATTCGTCACCTGCTTGTTGTCAGGTATCACACAATTTTCCAGTGTCGAATTTCACAATTTTTTAGGGGCTTCTGGTTCCGGGAAATCCTGTATCGCGGCCAGAATCGCCAAGGAATCCGAGTTTCCGTTTATTAAGGTGGGTTTTCGAACTGTGCTCTGAAAAAATCTTCAGGTGGTCTCCCCAGCGACGATGGTCGGCTTCTCAGAGATGGCGAAATGCCAGGCACTGCACAGGGCTTTCTCGGATGCGATCAAGTCTCCGCTTTCCATCCTCTTCCTCGACGATATCGAGTCGCTTCTCGGTGAGCATCAAATTCGATTCCGCATTTAACCCCGTTTTTTTCAGATTATACACCGCTTGGACCTCGTTTCTCGAACCTCGTGCTGCAAGCGCTACGTGTGCTGTTGCGCGACCCTGTCCCCGAGGGCCATCGGCTTCTCGTATTGGCCACAACATCGGAGCGCGAATTCCTCGAGCACGCTGGCTTGCTGAAATTCTTTGGTAGGTTTTTGATCGACGGAGTTCCGATAAATAAAGACGCGTAAAAAAGGGAAAATTGTCCGTTTTTTTTACATTTCCCACCGCGTGGCGGGGGGTCAGCGCTGGTTTTTCATACATTTTTGACCCAAATTCATCAAATTTTACAATTTTCAAGATTTTTTACTTATAAACAGCTTATCGTACTATTAAAATATATTTTTCAGACCACCAAATCCACGTGCCAATGCTGTCGGAGCCTCGTCATGTGATCGCTGTGATGCAGTCCTCCAATGTTTTCACCGCCGCTGAGCTGCAGACGGCCGATAAACAGCTGCGAGAGCTGAAACAAAGGTATAGGCAGCGTTTTTAGAGATTTTCGCCATTTTCCCCGTGCTTTGCTCTTCCTAAACGCAAAAAACTTTGCAAAGTTTACTTAAAGGGATAGTGAGGGCCCACGTAGACCAGCCAAAAACCGGTGACATGTCTGCGCTCTCCCCCCTGGGCGCCCTCTCTCGCCCTCTCTGACCCAATTGGCTGCCTGCCAATTATAGATGAGCCCTGATCCACGTGGGCCCTCCTTATCCCATTAAACGATCCAAAAGTATCGGTTTTACGCATGAAAGTGCAATTTTTTAGGCTTTAAATGGAAACAATTATCAAAATGGCGTTTAGAGCCCAAATCCACATCGGTGTAAAGCGTGTCCTCGGACTGATCGACTTTGTCCGCCGCTCCGACGGTGACCGCGCCGCTCTTCTCGTCTCACAGATCGAAGCCATGGGAATGGGCATTGAATAGTCTAGTCCGAAGCTTACTTTAATTCATTTAATTTCTCCCATTTTGTCATAATACTAGTTAATTTTAAAATGTGCAAAAGTTTCCCTAACTTTTATCACGTTCCATTTCCACAACATTCCAGTGTTCTGTGCATATATGTATCTCTGCGTAGTTCTTTTACCGTCTGTAGAAGCTGAAACTTTTTAAGAAATAAATAATTTATTGCGCGCATTGCGTCTAGCTGATTCCGGATGTGACATTTGTAGCTTTGTAGTGCAGATCGATCGGCTTTTTGTTGTCGTAAAGTGTTGGCGCCTGGAAATCGTTGTTTTAGCTATTTTCTTCTTTTGTAGTTTGCAGTTATTTTATTCTATTTTTTAGTTTACCTGTAATAGGATGTAGATTGTCCCCACAAAACATGCGATCGCAAATATCAACAGGAATAACCGGTCGAGCACCATCGCAACATACTTCCAATCCTCGTCGATCTATTTTTTTTTGGTATATTCGGTTCTTCCATTTTTGACGAAAATCGAGATTTTCCTATTTTTACCAAAACTGTATAAGGTTTTTTGCGTTTAATAATAGCGAAAAGCTGCTTACAAGGGAAGTGCACGAACTTAAGGTGGCCTTTCTTTTTGAAAATAAGTGGGTCTGATAGAGTCGAACACGGGGATTCCGAATCTGTAATCAGAATCTGCTAAATAAAACGGAGAAAAAAGTTATGATGCTTCAAAGTTGGCAAAATCGACAAAAACGGTACCTTTAGCGGCCTGTAAAAGGCGCGGAAGCGGAATTGAGCAAAAACCGATTGGTGCATCTTGTTCAGCAGAAAAAGCTCTTTCGAATGAGCATTAATATGTAGCAATTACAGATAATTTCTCAAAAAAAATCTTTTTAATTCACAGGTAAGGGTAGAGCCTGTGGATGTCTTCGAAGAGATTTCCGCGAAATCATTGTATACTTTTTGAATGATAGCTCATTCGAAAGAGCTTTTTCTGCTGAACAAGATGCACCAATCGGTTTTTGCTCAATTCCGCTTCCGCGCCTTTTATAGGCCGCTAAAGGTACCGTTTTTGTCGATTTTGCCAACTTTGAAGCCTCATAACTTTTTTCTCCGTTTTATTTAGCAGATTTTGATTACAGATTCGGAATCCCCGTGTTCGACTCTATTAGACCCACTTATTTTCAAAAAGGAAGGCCACCTTAAGTTCGTGCACTTCCCTTGTTAGAAGACCTCTCTATTTATATTAGAAAACTAGCGCCGAAAACCCGCTTCGCGGTCCTTACATCATAAATTTGACTTCCCGGGTACTCTGGAACATCATGAGAACATCAGAGCCCGGGCTCAACAATTGCGGGAATATTCCGGGAATGCCTCAGGGCATTCCCGCAATGTTCCCGCAATGTTCAAGCATTCCGGGAAGGTGGTGCAAATTATTCCCGGAATGCCTTCTCATCTATTGCGGGAATTCCAGGCATGGATTCCCGGAACTGCATTCCGGGAACGGTTCCCGGAATGAGTTCCCGGAATGTCGTCTCACGTATTCCGGGAAACTTTTCGAGTTTCCCGGAATGTAGTTCCGGGAATGGTTTTATGTAAGGTTTGGTTCCCCGACAAAATCTCGGGGACAGCATTCCGGGAATGCGCCTCTCATTCCCGGAATGCGTTTCATCTACATTGCGGGAAACCATTCCGGGAACTACTTTCCCAGAATGTAGATGAGACGGCATTGCGGGAAAAAGTGGCTACTTTCCCGCAATGTTTCCCGGAATATTCCCGCAATGTTCCCGCAATGCGTTCCCGGAATGATTCCCGCAATAGTTGAGCCCGGGCTCAGGTTCCAGAGAGACACGCCAAAATTATATAAAGTAGGATATTTGATTAGATGAGAATATCAGCCGGGCCAGAAATCGGCAAAAGCGGATGTTCTCGATGCCGGTTATTGTTCCAGAAACTTCAGTCTATCAAATGATATCACATTACAAAAACGCGATTATGACAAAAGAATATCTATCTTATCTACCTTATCATCGCGGTCCTTCTTCTTCAGCAGTTCGGCGATAAAGCATATATTTTCGAAGGCTTTCACTACCTGAAACTCTTCCGATGGGATGTAGTTTTTCGAAAACTACCTGCGGCGAGAAATAGAGCTTTTGAATGCGTTCGTCAATCGCTGCATTCGCCAGCGCTCGGCCGAAGCCCTAGAGAAATGGGTACTTTAGCATTTCCGGGGGCGGGGTTCCGATATTTTCTATAAATCGATATATGCCTATTAGCATAACTATAAGCATTTGTTTTTGGTCTACTTTAGCTGTTCAAACTTTGTATAAAACTTGAAGTTTGTAGTTTTTACGTTTAGGAATAAAATCCATTCTCAATTAAGATTTGAATTCTTACGGTATTCTCTTTGACCCGGTGCTCGTGGTAGTTGAGCGCGATTTTCCCCTCAAGTGTTGTAGGGCCTAGAAAAACACTTTCAATTAGAAAATCGACCACCCACCCGCGGCCAGCATTTTCGGGTTGACCTTCTTAAAGTTCTCCTCGGCCTCGGTCAGGGGGCGACGCATGAAGAGGAGCTGAAAACGGTTAGATGTCGATAATTAGCTGCAAACCTTCGGCAGCCAATTCAAGAACACCTTCTTCACCCAGTTAGGCATTATATGGGTGGTCGGGGTCCGGAAATGGAGGTTTAGGGCTAAAAAAGTGAGATCCTTCAGAACTATTCCGAGGTACAAATGACGGTGACGACAACGGAGAGCGTGACCATCACCATCGTGAATAACAGATATTTGCCGATTAGTGGCAGTGTGGTAGAGGTGGCTGGGATGATTTCGGTCTGAATTAGATCGATACCAGATGGTTACAGTCGCTTCGCGACTGCAACCATCTGGCCTTCGGCTACCTCATGTCCTCCCCACCACCTCCTTCCCTACCTCCTTCAAACCCCCTGATAACCGAAGTCCCGTCAAAAACTACCTAAATACCTTCCTGATGGCTTCAGATACCTCCCATGGCTGAAATCCCCGTCAACAACTACCTAAATACCTTCCTGATGGCTTCAGATACCTCCCATGGCTGAAATCCCCGTCAACAACTACCTAAATACCTTCCTGATGGCTTCAGATACCTCCCATGGCTGAAATCCCCGTCAACAACTATCTAAATCACCCCTTCCCCTGATGGCTTCAGATACCTCCCATGACTGAAATCCCCGTCAAAAACTACCTAAATCCCTTTCTGATGGCTTCAGATACCTCCCATGACTGAAATCCCCGTCAAAAACTACCTAAATACCTTCCTGATGGCTTCAGATAACTTCCCCCATGGCTGAAATCCCCGTCAAAAACTACCTAAATACCGTCCTAGATACTTTAAATAATTTAAATAATTAATTAACATAATTAAAAGTATTAAATAGTATATTAAAAAGTATTAAAGTAACTTAAGAAAGCTATCTGGGCGCGCGAAGGGGCCTGGCGAAGAGGGGCGAGGAGAAAGGGGGCGTGGCCTCCCGGGAGAGGGGCCCCCACTCCTTATATCCTATCCTATAAGCGAGAAAAGTATGTTTGTTTTCTGTAATGACGATTTCTCGGCCATGAGGCCGAATTTCGAGCTGATTTTTGGCATGAAGGTGGAAGAACACATTTGTCAGACACGCATTTTTTTGTTTTGCGAAATTCTTTCATTTAACGGTTTTACAAGCAAAATAGTGAAAATCCTTAACAAAATGGGCCAATGGCCGTGGTGTCCGGGGCATAACTCGCTTCGCATTTGGAATTTCGGGCTGAAATTTGGACCAGTTATGTATTCGATAGTGGGGATCACGCGCATCTTATTATCTTTACAAATTTTCTGCAGATTCAGACTAAAAAACTCAATTTTGTAAAGTGACCAGAAGGCCTCCCTTCCGGGGCATTGGGTCGGCCTTTTCTGTGCCTCCCCGCTCCCCTTTCCCCGGAACAGAAGAGGGCTTTCCCGCCGCCTGTTGCATCTACCCCATGGTGTAGTGGATTTACTCCCGGCCTACCACGCCGATGGTCGTGGGTTCGGATCCTGGGCAAATCCAACTTTTTGCTTTTTGGTAGTTTAGCAACTAACCATATTTCTAGGCTCTCGGTGTGCGAGATTTAGGCCTGGCTCTCGCTCTAGCGCCGCAGGCCCAAGAGAAGCTCCTTGACCCAGGCTCTCGCGCCGCAGGCCAGATCCTGGAGAAAAACCAGTAACTAGCGCCGCAGGCTCAAAGGTTCTAGCGGAACGCTGGCTCTAGCGCCGCAGGCCAAAGAATGGCGCCATTACTAAGGTCCTTGCGCCGCAGGCTAAAAGAAGAAGGTATTCAAATTCATGATTCCTGGACGGGGTCCAGTGGAAAATGGCCGCGAAGCGGTCGTTTTCCACTGGTTACATAATAAAACCATTCAACGAATGCTATTTTTTCCCAAATTAGCTGTTCCTCGAGATATCTGGCTCTGCCAGATCAAAAGCGCCCCGCCATGTGGGGCCGCGGTGGGACCCTCTCGGGTCGACCTGTCCGATTCCGCTGTATTATCCTCACTTTTTTTCTCGAGCGTTCCTCGCGTCTTTTATTTCATCACGGTTGTGAGAAATAATCGACGCTTTGAGACAATTCTGTCTCATTCGCTCTAGTTTCTTCTTTTGTTTTAGATTTGTTTCGTTCAGCGTTGAGGCGTTTGGCGCCCACGCTTTCTTCTTCTCTCTCCTATTTCTCTTTTATTGAGTGTTCGTGGTCGCCTCGAGCGTTTCTTGGTTCATTAGTTACTTGGTAACTTTTCCCACTGAGCGGCGCTCATAACAACTATGAGCGGTGCTCATAAATAGCTCGAGACCACATAGCCGATTAGCGCGGTCGCGCAAGGCTCCTTTTTCAGGCCCGGCGCGGTCAGTTTAGGTAAGTTTATTTCTGCTCTCTTCTTCTCTTCTTCTCTTCTTCTCTTCGTTTCCTTGTTTTTCGGGTGGCAACCCTCGGCAATCAACGCCCCCTCATCGTGGTTTTGGCGACCCGGCCGGTACGCTCACGTTGTCCACGGGTCTCTAGCGGCGCTTTTCCCTTACGATCTTGCAACGGGCTGTGCCCCACTTGTTGCATTCATTTCGAAAGGATTGTCGTCAGACTATAAGTCTCTTTGGATCAGCGATCCCCTCTCTTCCTGGTGACTATGTCGCAAATTGGTAGTAGGCTTGCTTCATATGTTTCCGTCTGGCAAGATGGATCGGTTCCGCTCTTGGATATTGGAAGCGAACTCGGAGAGCTAGCGCTTCCTCAGCACGCCAGGGGTTTTAGCAAAACTCTGAGTGCCTGCATACGGCTGCGATCTTCTTTTCGCGTCCGGTTGCGCGTGAGTAACCGTTTTCAGGATCCTATGCATAGATGGTTATCTTTTATTGCCTGTAGGCTCATAAATTGCCGCGCCTGTCCTTCTGGAGAAGTAGGATACAGATTCTCCGAGTTAATGAGCCCTTTTGAACAGGCTGTTCTTTACATTCCCGGGACTTTCGGCCGTTCTCTTCGGGCTTCTGCAGAGCCCAGCCTGAGTTCGGCGAATTTCACAAGCGTTGGAAGCTTAGCCGTTCCTTTGTAATACGGACAGGGCCTGTTCTTGTTCGCAACAAGCGGCAGTTTTCCTTCCACGCCCTCTCCCTTATTTTCGGTTCACAGAGGTGTCCTAACGGGGTTTCACCGTCTATAGGGTAGAGTCGAGCTTTGCCTCGTGAGCGCCCAACATGGTCTCGTCGGCGGACCTCTGGTCAATAGTCCGCTTCTGCGGCAGCCACGGCTTGTTTTCGAGCGCTTGGCTATTAGGCGCTAAGCGAACCATCCGCCCCCGATCAGATACGTAGCCTTACGTACTGCCGCGCCCACAATGATTGGCGAACGTCATCGTTGCTTGTCTTCGCAACAGGTAGCCTCGAAAGGAGCGGTGTCAATTTCTACCCTTCCGAGCGGCCTCTCCTCGCCTTTGTAGTAGCACTACAGCGGGTTTGGTCGTATCCCAGTAAACTATGAGTCCGATTCTACTCGTTATCCTTGTACGGTACACTGTCGCCTCATTATTCGGCCAAGAACGTTTCTTCTCGCCTTCGTCTTCCGTCGCTTCTTCTTCGTCTTCGGTTCTTGCCCCTGTCCACCCCGGTTTGCTTGCAGCAGTAGCTAGTGGTCCGCTTTCGGCGGGGCTCATCAAGCAGAGGTTTCGTGCAGCTCCGGTACTAGCTTAACCGCCCCTTGGCGAGCAAGCTGCTTACCCATCCGGATTTCACTGCTCTGACAGGTTGTCATATCCTAGCGTGCTCCAGCGATCAGCGGTTGCGGTCCTATTCGGAGCTGGTTATTCCGCTGGGTCGTTGCGGTTACTTCCGTTCCAACTGGGGCGAATACACCGCCTGCCTGTGTACACGCGGCTCAACAGTGGTTGTTTCGCTCTCCCCGCTCGCGGCGCCCTGTGGTCTATTGACCCATTATACAGTCAGTCTCCCGAAGGGTCGAGAGTGCGGATCCGTCGCTTCGGTAGTTGGTTGTCTGCCATTTGTCTCCGTCATAATTCGTCTAGGACGAGGTGTTAACCAACTTGGTTTTAAGCCATCGCGTCTGTCGTGATTGCTCGCGCTTGGCGTGTCAGGGCCTGGCGACCAGCGACATCCGGCTTCTTTTCCTAACCGCTCCGCCGTTTCGTCCACCGCACTTTCCGCGTGCTCTTCCGGTCTTCAACGGTCTGTTACGGCCGTAGCCGGCCTTCGGTGCCCTTGGCTGCTACTCGGGCCAGCTATAATTGATTGCCACTAATCATAATTCGCATAATTCGCATTAAGGCCTTAATTCGCTAAGGCGAATGCGAACTAAGTTATGCTTTCCGTACGGCAGTAGCCTTCCTGGCCGTCAGTATCCTCCCTCAAGGGAATGAGTCTCACCCTCTCCAAGAGGAGGAGGGGGGGGGCACGGCACGGTCAGAGCGACCGCTCCAGTGATCCTGGTCTGAGATCCAGTGAGAGCAGACTGGAGTCCAGTCTGATGGTCCAAAATCCTTGGGTAGTTCAACTCGGAAGTTTCTCAAGCTACGTTTCTTGAGCGCTTTTCAAGCAAGCTTCCTCCAGGCTTTAGGCCGTGGTATTCTCGGCCGATTCGACGGTGTCGGACAAGGAAGTTCCTATTCGGATCTCCTATTGTTTCGTGTCGTGGCGGAGCTTTTTCCGCGCGGGACGCGCGAAGCCAGGGTCCGCATCACGAGATAGGCTTCATTCGATTCGTGAATTAGTTGCGTTAACTAATTAACGGAACCCTATCGAGCTTCATGCGGTTGCCCTTTCCTCCAAGTTTGCTTCATCCCATTCCAGAACTGCGCTGAGACGCAGTTCCTGAGCCCACGTTTTCTGAACGCACATGAGGGTTTTGCTCCTCGGCTGGACCTGGACCTAGAATGGTCTTCACCCCATCCCATCCTCGGACCTACCCTCCTTGATAGAGCCGGTTCAGGCAATGCTTGCCCCTGACCCTCACTTTCCAAGTGTAATCCGAGGCTCAGAGTTCTCCCTCGTCTAAGAGGTCTGTGCGACTATCTCGGATTGGTTTTCCATGGTAGCTTACAGCTGTCTGCGGCTAGCCCGCCCGCATAAGTGGTATGGTAGAGCCCAATCACCATACTACTTGCATATCAGATTAGTTTGCATACGCGTAACGCAGCGCTTTCTATACAGCCAAGCACCACTTCCTTCAAGTTCTGGTCGGGGAGTTCCCCTTTCTGCTCCAGCTACTAGGATGTCGTCCGGAGGCGAGATGACCGGCTCCAACCGTTTGTTTCAACCGGCTTTCTTCTACACCCTTCATCCCGTGCCATCTCTCGCCATACTGTGATGCGAGGCGTCGAGACGTCGCCTCTGCTACTCTTCTGGACGATTCGGTTCGGATCTGGCCATGACCTCTAGCCCTACGTTACTTAGTTCCATGTATGGAATTGTCGCTCCAACGGCGCGCCAGATTCGTCTGAGGTTCGACCTCACCGAGACGGTCGGCCTTTGCTTATTCACGGCCTTGGTAGCACAGGACGTGCCTGCAAGTTTGTTTCCTTAGTTTCTGCCACTGAGGTGTTGAGAGTCGCCCTTCTCGCGCGCTCATAGGAGAGCAAGACTTGCTTGCCCTCAGACCCAGGTTCCCCGTTTGTTCGTTCTCTCGACGTCCGCGTTTTGGAGACTTTGCTCTGGAGACTTGGATGGAAGTTGTCTTCCGTACCGGGAAGCTCCTTTGGACAGCACCTCCTCGCCTCGAAGTTGCCGGGTGCCCTATTGCTCTTTCTTTGAGGACTTCCTCAACGACGCGTGATAAATTTGGGAAGCGTTAACTTTCTCAAGCCACCCCTTCCAAGATCGAGTCGCCTCCTGCCCCTTTCTAGTTATACCGGCTCTTACGGGCTCGTCATTATGCTCCGGAAGCAGGCCCAACGGGTCACTTTTCTATCGCCTAACACCGTCAAGCTCGGAGGTTCGAGCTGACCCCAATTATATCTTTGGCAGCTTATAAGCTCACCTGAATTCAGATACGGACTTTCATTTCAAGTACATATCTGATCCGCCGTAGCACCCGATTATACGGTTGAACTGTTAGCATTCGTTGAATGGTTTTATTATGTAATATAATGTATATTATGCGAGTAAACGAAGTTTACGAAGTATAATATTTATTATATCAATATAAAACCATTCAACGAGGCCCACCCTCCCTAGCTACTTGCGGATATCAGGGCTATGCATCTCTCCGTCGGTCGACGTCGATCATGCTTTCTAGTATATTCGGTGGTACCCTCATCTTCCGCTTATGTTCTAGTACGAACATGGTACTATCAGCGCTCGCTCCAAAAAGTGAGGATAATACAGCGGAATCGGACAGGTCGACCCGAGAGGGTCCCACCGCGGCCCCACATGGCGGGGCGCTTTTTATCTGGCAGAGCCAGATATCTCGAGGAACAGCTAATTTGGGAAAAAATAGCATTCGTTGAATGGTTTTATATTGATATAATAAATATTATACTTCGTAAACTTCGTTTACTCGCATAATATACATTTTACTAAGGAAAAACTTTCAAAGTTAATTTTAATAATTTAAACTAAAACTTTTTCATAATTTTTTATCAGTTTGGGGGTTTCTGACGGCGCTCTATCCGAATCCGAAGAGAGCTAAGCTCTAGCTCCTTTCCCCTTCGAGTTGAATTCGGCTTCAGACACACAGACACCACAGCAAAATTATTATAGTTGATTTTCGGTTCATTCGCATTACGGGGGTATTTTTCACACGTCCAGAAATGCCTACTAACGTGATAGAAAGTGTTTAATAGTGTCTTTAGTGAAATTTAGCGGTTTCAAGTGAAACACATCGTAAAAACTTCTAAAACCTTTACAATTGGTCAAGAATTTGCCGTTTTAGGGTAAAAATAGTAGCTGATGGTTCGATTTTTTATTACTCAAAACAGTGTTAAAAAGTGTATCCAAATATCTAATACGTACAATTGCTAGGAAAAAAAGACGAAAAAACCTGCCAGTAGCAAAAAGAAGATAGTGAGCGCGACGAGGATCGAGATGCAGAGCGTCACCTAAAAATAGCGTCGCCAAGCTTTTGTATAAATCAATTAAATATATAAGAATCTACTTAATATAATAGCATAGGACATAATAGTAGTATATAATAGAATATAAATATAATTCTCCACCTTTTCTCCAGAGTCTGAGGGCAAATAGAAGACGAGAATCGTCAGAAAAGAGATGCCAACACACGGGAAAACCAGGTTAACCGTGTAGAAAAGCGGCTTTCTGCGCAGTTCGAGGTAATACTAAATATATATCCTATAAGGCCTCTAGTTTTTACATACGATAATGTCCATATAGGCGGATCCCGGGCAGCAGCTAGGGTAATTCTTGCTTCTCCTTTTTGCCACTCGAGACATGATATCCCATTCGACGGATGGGTAATAGTCGGACAAATCTAAAGACAAGAAAATAGTGCTTTTGAAAGGAATAAAAACCGATGCCATCTACGGCGATCGTCACGTTATCCATTTCTCCCTGTTCGTTCTGTTCGGTCACGTGGCTGACGTTGTGTTCTCAAAAGCGACAAATTTTTCCTTACAAGTTTCTGCAAGCCTTTCTAAACTGTTTTTACCATTCATAAACATAGTATATATGAAAATACACATATACTGTAGAAAAAAACATAAAAAAATATTTTTTCGACCATCAGTTTTCTGACTTGAAATATAGTTGCATTTTACTAAAACATTCTTACATGGTGTAAAAATATATATTTTGGGACCAAAACGTTTTTAGGTCATTTTAAGAGGTTTTTAACTTGTTTTTCCATTGTAAAGCCAGTAAATTTTACCAAAAGCTATATTGAAAGAATAGCTTACAAACTATTATTACAAAGTGTAAAAATATTTCTTTCGACCAAAAGGCCCATTTTTAATTTTTTTCAACCAACCCAACAAGTCGAGCTTCAATAAATTGTCCGCGTACGTCCACGAGCCGAATTTCAGATGGCACTCCTGCTGATCGAAGGGAAACCTAAAAATTGAAAAAATTGCAAACAAAAACAACCATTGGACGTCAATCTGGCACAACGACTTGAAGATGGCCGGCGGTTCCCAGGTGACCTCGCCCGAATAGTGCAGCGTGGCCTTCGTCGAGATGGTGATGTTGTAGTAGCTCTCCGCGCTGAAGAAACCAGTCAATAAAGAAGATTCACGCTTGAAACTTATTGTAGAGGACAATATCGGGCACCCAGATCATTTCATAAGGAACGTAGAGCACCGAGACGCCGCCGTAATTCTTCGGATTCCACGACAGTTTCTTGTCCATCCATACCTGAAAAACAAAGAGGTGAAACTGATGAGGTGAAACTGATATAAAATAAGCATGTTTTAGTGCTTGCATTACCAGGCGGGGGAATTAAATTTAAAATGAATGGAATGAAATGAAATTAAAAATTTAATGAAAAAATTAAATCAAAAATATCGTTGGAAAATCAGTTATTCAGGGAAACAGTCGAAAAATGTAAATACAACGAAGAGTGCGAACCTGCTTCAGCCAAACACTGCACGTCATCACCTGGTCCAGCTCGGCCTAAATTTTTGGCAATATACATTTTTTTCTTTAAATTAGAAGGACCCACCACATCGATAATCTGCGATAACCGCAGCTTTAATTTAATCGTCGTCGGCTCTTTCGGGTTCATGGCCGGCCGTCGATGTCTAGGTGGAAGGATTAGCATTTTTTACCCAGCGCTAGCGAAATTTTACGTTATTAATTTCTCGAAAATTTGGAAGAGTTCTCACCTGTTGTAATGCACCATCAGATCGTCGTACAATCGTTTCGCGTCTTCATTTCCCGCAGCCAACGGAATAAAGGATAGGAAAATAAATAAGTACAAACCCGTCCTCATTGTTCTATCTAAAAAATAGCGTTTATAACCGAGTTTTTTAAACGAAAGAAAAAAAAGAAGAAAGAAGAAGTTGATTCGAAAGCTCTCCCAAAACCAGACCTATACGCCCAATAAGAAATCCACATCAAAAGAAAGGAACCTAAATGCTTTTGCGGGAAGAATCGATACACTATGCAGCCGAGGGAGGGCCCCGGGGAGTGGGACTCAGTGCCCCTAAAGCTTCTCCCTTCCTTCGGCTCTTCCTCAGTGCCACGCTTTCAAATCCCAGCCCCTAAGACAGCCGCAAAGAGAAGCAAAAGAACCCCCACCCACACCTCCGCCTCCCCTGGGGCTCCCTGTCCCAAGCCGTCGAAATTTGGAAAATAGTGACAATCATGCGCTCGAAATTGGGAAATACCTACTTGAATTGATAAGGAAAAACATCAGAAAAAGTTGCAAAATTATGGTGATAGTCTCGAATCGGCGTAGGCTTAGGTTTTTTATGTTTAAAGGGATGCACAAGGCTTGGCTGTGGATCTTTTCGCTGCCAAAGCCTAAGTCTATGCCCAAGCCCAAGCACAAGCCTCAGACAAGCCTAAGCCTAAGCCAAGCCGAGCCAAGCCAAGCCAAGCCAGGCCTAAGCCTTAGCATACGCAATCTATCAGCGTACGGGCGAAGTAACTGGACTCTTCTAATTCTAAAACTGACAACCGACAATAAAAATACCCTTTTCAGACTCTCAAAATACCGGCGCCGAAACTGTAGCCTCGAAAGATTTCTCTCGGTTCTTCTGCAAGCATCCAGCGGTACAGCCGATGTCCTGAAAAAACTTACGTCGGGTGATGCTCGAATTTGGGGCTGAAAATACTCCAACACGGATATTTACATTGATAAATACAATCCATTTTAGTTTTTCTGGGAAATTACGAAGGAAATAAAA